CAGTTGTCCCTACCTTTGCCATCATTAAAAAGTCTCACTAATAATCATTATCTTATTACCTTTCTTGTCCAACCTTCTCGTTTATTTGTTATATTTAAGGTTCTAAGTCCCTATCTGCATTATTAGATTTGGTTACTGTTTTTATTTTTTTCATACGTCCGAACTTCTTATCGATTTCGCTAATAATACATCCTTAACCTGTAATTACACAAACTGACTAGTTTTCTAGTAACTGTAATCATATTTTGTCACTTCTACGTGATCTTCCTGATTATTACACATTGGAATTTTAATTTGACCTTTGACCTGAAATATTTCTAGAATAGTACCACTACCTACCTATCTTCTGTTTATCACACTTGGTAATCTGACCTCTGACCGGAAATAATTCTGTAACTTTCTCACACATTTACTATATGATAGAGAAGATTTGTAGCTCAGGTGGATGATTTTGATGTGGTTTTGTTCTCTGAGCTGGATGGTTAGTTTGCGAAGCTTTCATCACCTTACTGGGTGACATCTTCAGCGCATACTTCAATTTGAAGTGAGCTTTTGGATTTCTCCACGAGTTTATTAATCATCTCTCCAAAGTGGACGTCCCCTTCGTCTTCGTATCCACGAACATAAGCTAGCCGTCAAAAGACATGATATCCACTCCCTCATTTCACTGCATACAGACAACCACGGACATCAATTCGACTGGGACAACGTTCAAATATTAGACAAAGGAAATAACAAGAATGCTAGAGAATTTTTAGAAGCTTGGCATTCCAGTGAATCATCAATCAATAGACACATCGAGATAGACAAAAGTTATCAACCAATAAGAAAGAAACTTCACACACAAAGGGTCAAAGTTCAAGTCAAAGAAACAACCGGTTCCAATACAAGTAACCTAGAAGGTGTGAAAACACACACAAACAACCAATCACGTCCAAGGTCACCAGGAGAGATGATTAATAAACTCGTGGAGAAATCTAAAAGCTCACTTCAATTTGAAGTATGCGCTGAAGATGTCACCCAGTAAGGTGATGAAAGCTTCGCAAACTAACCATCCAGCTCAGAGAACAAAACCACATCAAAAACATTTACTATAAATACACGAATGTACGGCCTAGTTAATGACTTCGTCGAAAAGAAAATTTTCTTCGCTGCAACCGTCTTTTTAATTATTCCTATGTTCCAATGTGTATATTCCGTAAATGCCAATTATAAAAAGTTCAGAAGTGCATTTTGGTGAACCAAGGACCCAACTCAAAAACAGTTATCTCATGTATTGGGATAATCATACCATCGAGCTGGATAATGCTTTTTCTCATGTTTAGTAAAAGCTTGGGAAATTGAAGGTTGTAAATGTTTTAAATACTCTTCCGAATGATTAATATTATTGGAAGTCACACTCTAATAGACTTAAACAAACTGTATAAAAGAACCTATATGCGATATATTAATGGAGGTTTGTTTGTTTCGGTAACTGAAGTATGAAGCAGGCCGCCAAATGTTACCAAGTGTTACTTTGCAGGAACTTTATTTGTTATAGATTTCATCACAAGATGATACCAATTATAAAACTACTGGAAAATCAGCAGGGCTTACTGGACAGCTATCTCGTCCTAGTCTAGGACTCCTTGCCAGTATGCTTGCTCCAGTGTTCCAACTAAGAGACTACAGGCGACTAGGGGAGCTTGTAAACTATTCAGTCGCTGGAACACAATGCAATCTCTCATGCATTCCAACCTCTGTCAGTTCTCGATGTATATACGTATACATATATCGCAACCGCCAGCCATAAAATAATCTTTAGTCTTTTTGTAGCTACACCTTCTATAAATTGAACCATGTGACCCAAAAACTAATTGTTGAAAATCAGTGCTAGAATCAACTGCATAACCCTTTTCTGTATGGTGTGTTTTGAGATGGGTGACTTTAGGCATCAGTTTCCAGTGTACCGAGGCGTTGAAAGAAATCTTACTCAATCGAGTCTGAAGACACTGATGACGTCTTGATCTATAGTGATACATTTTTACACCTTTCATACACCTTTAGACTTTATATGTATATATTTAAGTAATAAGTAAGCATGTGATCACAATATTCGAGATGTATAGCGTAAATACACTACACATTTGAGACAAATTACGTTTACTCATTATTTTTTAGACAATCATGGACGTCATGTAATACGTCATTACTGATAGATGAGGTTACGTTATGATAATAATAATAATACCTTTTTTGTCTGCCCACCGAAAATGTTTTCCATTCCATTTGAATGTTAGACAAGCTAAGCCGTTTATTATTAATCTTATAAACTTTATAATAATTTTACAACTTATCACATTTATAGTCAAGCCTAACAAATTTCATTTGTATACGTTGTTCACATCCGACCTGTTGGCACCATAATACGATATTTGTATGAACTGTCGAAAATCCGTCTGATTCTTGATATGGAGGCGCGTACTCATCACGATATTGCTCAATAGTTAGTTGGAATATAAGAACCAGTTAGAAGGCGAGTATCTTAGTTTTCTATTAATGATATATTTCAATTTATTGAGAGGAATAAAGATTCCAGTGTCTCAGACAAAGTCATGTTCTCATTGGAGAGCTGTAACTGCGTTATTAACTGATGTCTGCTGTATATATGCGATCAAATCGATGCACATAGTTAAGAAATATGGTTGCCAGCAATCCACCTCAAAGAAATCTTACTGAGAGACAGTTTCTACGTCCACTTTAGTTTTAATAATGACATTTTTAGATAGACAGTTAGGTGGTATTAGGATGAGGTCGCCATTGGGTCCATTGCTGGCTGATTATTTTATAGGAAATCTTGAAAACCCCCACCTTAGTCAAACCATCGATCACTCTGATGTTTAGAGAAAGTACCTGGAGGAATTTTATCGAAAAAATCCCAACAAATTCTATAATTTGGATAGTGCATTCAGTGATCTACCATCGCAATTACAACATTTCAGTCTTCGAAGTCAGTCGTTTGTGTCTTTATCCTTGTTAGAATAGTAGTTGAGTGACCATCAATCTTATATTATCTAGCGTTGAAGTAACCGTGAATTGAACCTAAATCCAGTATTATTATTATTCAAATAATAACGGTACAGGTCACGCTTCACTTCGTATGCATTTTTATTCGCGCGTAAAATATGCTCTACAGGAGGTCAGTCGCGAGCCCGAATAGCTTAGTGGTAATATCTGTGACTGCAGTATACAGGGTGAAAAGGGTTCGAATCTAATAAGGGACATGAATTCCCTCAAGGTTACAGACACCCCTTGTTGACTGTTGGTTGCTGACTAGCACAAAACCCCTGGCATGTCCAAGGCTTCCTGTCCAATGCCTCCAACCGTCTAATATCAACTATTCAAAGTGCACCATGATGGCAGGCTACCTAACTCGATGGTGGCCACATTGGAAACCTGACCAATGGAATTCAGTCTTCACCAAACAAAGGACGAGACACATTTTGCTAGTTACTAACTGGTGTCCAATCAAAAATATATTCAAATCAAATAAAACCAACATAATTGAGACGTATTGATGTTGTGAATGACACCATCCTGGTTAAAGTTGCATTATCCCACCGCATATGTATTAGTCTGACAGCTTAGTAATACTAAGCAAAGGTGTTAATTTAAAATTTGATAACGATAAATTATCGACAACCTCACAAATTCAGAACTGATTAATACGAGATTTCCAATACTCCTTACACCAACCAGTAGTCATCACTGGATAAATCAACTTGATATAAAATCCGCAAATTTTCTTTTTGTCAATATTACTGAAGTACTGGATGTGTGAAACGTGGGCACTGTGATTGTAAGTAATTCCATATTAGTTTGTTTATTAGATGTATCACACAGTCAGTGAAACAGCAGTACTATTTACTGGATATTGACGTTTCGAACAAAATGTACTGCTGTTCATAATCATATGATCAGTTATAATCACACGGCTTTGAAACTTCAGTTTTATAGTTCTCTTTGTTCTCTCCTATTTGTCGTCGTTGAGGTAGTAGGATTTTGCAGATATATGGGTGGACAGGTCCTAAATCATTCCTATTAAATGTATTTGCAGTTTATTCGGTAAACAGAGCTTCCGTTATCAATCTCTCCCTTCACCCTGTAACATTAGATTTTAAAACTGTCATCCTATCCCATCCCACTGTATGACAGTGTGTATTTGCATGTAGTGCTATCCATAGCTGAACTATTCTCCAGATTCGAGTCAACTAATCTAGATTTTGCTAGGTCTTTATGCTCTGCTAGTCTCACTGACTGCCACTGTTCTACTAGTTTGACCTGTGTATTAAACCAGGGTATTAGATAAACTAGATTGTTTTGTTTGAAAGGTTCTACAGGATCGTTCCTGTAATCGATAAACCTTGTTTCTAATTGAGTTTGTGGTTGGTTTGAATGCCAGTCACTTTTATTGCTGCCTTGTTACGAATTCTCCGTGAGGTGGTTTCCGAAGTTCCTTCCTTATATGGAATTATTATTAGTAATGATTTAGGTTCCTTATTGTTGGTATTGTCATTATCCTGTGCATGTTTCACATGCATTTGGTCATTAATATTACTATTATCCTTATTATTATCACTATCATTACAATCATTATTTATTATAATTATAATATGATATTATTATAATTGTTATGAATATGAACAATAAATTTTCTTCGAAATGTCATCCAGTAAATAATACTGTTTCACTGACTGTGTGATATATCTAATAAACAAACTAATATGGTGTAGTGGAGTTTAAATACTTCCGTTACTCCTACTTCTCAGATCAACTGACTAAATTTCATGTATTTTATGTTATTATTCTGAATGATGTTAGTTGTAGAGGTGTTGTAGAGAAACTAGAAAATGATATCATGTCACAAAATTTGTCTTCTCAGTCACTTATTCAAACACTGCAAATAGCATCGAGCGTGTTCAAAACTCACGCAGATATAGACTACTGAAATGGTTTCTTTTTTAGTCTACAGTAATACTTATTATTAAGGATAGAATAAATAGTCTTAATTTTCCAAAGGAATCATCAATAAATTCTATCTTAAGTTGAGCTGAATGACTTACCTGAACTCTAGCCTCAGTAAGATTGATTCTCAGCGCCAAATCTTTTCGAGTATAAATATCAGGATAATGTGTCTCTTGAAAGGCTTTTTCAAGTTCTTTCAATTGAAAACTGGTGAATGTTGTACGAATTCTTCTTTGTTTACGTTTCTCGTGTAGATTTGTAATACTTAAGCATAAATTTGATAATACTGGACTCGGTTGTAGTGGGTTACCTGTTGAATGTTGAATAGTCATGCCTGAATTATCTAAGTTAACAGGTTTACTGATATCATTCTTAGTGTGATTTGTAACTGATCGATCTTGGGTTCGAATCCAGGCTACAGGTCCAGCTCGCAGACTATTTAACCATTAAAACACTACAAGCCAACACTTGACAATTACTTTACAGACTGTATCTTTTTATTATTCCCCTGGGTTCTAAGTGGAATAAAGACCTTCAGCACCACATTTCCATTTCATCCTCTTCAACTCGCTCTGTGGCTATCGAGGAACTTAACCCTACATTCCTATTATTTGCGAAGACGCTCCGAATCAACAATTACTAGGTACGATTATCGACTTTAACTCCAAAACACAAGGACCAATAAGAAATTGTATTGTTCGGCAGTTAAATTCGTTATCATACAAAGTCTATCAGCAAATGTTTTACAAGGAATGTACTGTACTTTAATTCGTATTCTTTTGTCTTCCTCCAACTTGTACACCGTTGAATCATTCGCGGCTTTGAGTTGCTCGCCAATGGCGACCAAGGACAATGAGCCAATGTTCAATGTCCACATTCATTTACAGTGGCTGTCTGTAAGATCTCATCTTCTGCTGTCACTATTTCATCCATGTTGGAGAACACCTGACTCTCCGTTTCCACACAGTAGTCTTCTCAGTGTTTATCCTATCCCTTCCTAATACCTTCGGCATGCATATTTTGCGATAGGCTCTTATTTTGTTTGTACCCAGAATCCCCTGTTACTTATCCCTCGTGGGGATTTGGTTAACAGTATCCAGCCAGAGAAGATAGTTGTCAGTGAAGATCTACAGCCTGTTGCAAATGGTTTCCATGACGCATGGGCGATGTCTCTGAACCTTATGCTGACTGTACTAGATTTCTTGCCTCCGACAATGTCATCCTTATTGACTGCCTGTAGTTGAAACAATGCTGCTCAAATAAGTGAAGGAAATGCCCTCCTTTAAATTTCTTCTGTTGATAGTGACTGATGCCTACTGTTTTTGTTGGCGTTGTTGGTTGTCGCCTCGGTTTTTTTCTTGTTCAATCGAAGTCCTGTCTTCGTTGCCTGTTTCTGCTGATAACTTTATAAATCCTACTTTTCTATTTTCTTAATTTCATGTTGAAAACATACCTAATTATTTTACTAATACACTATCAGTCGGGCACTTTATATGATAATAATAATAATCTACTTTATTCCAAGACGAACAGTACTTATAATACAGAATGGAATTCTAAGCATTTGTCACAATATTCCATCTGATTTACTTAGAATATAAATAAAATTAAAAATTAAAACAAAAGTAACCAGAGGAATTTGTCCACGCTTACGATATAAAGTCAAAAATATTCTAAGCACGAATTGAGATCATTAAATATTATGACAGTAAAAATAACAGTGAGCTTGTTTCAAACAGTTTTGTCGATTCAGTTTGGTAATTTTATCATTTTATAGATTATTGAATCTAATGTTCTGTTGATATAGTATTTTTTTTCCTTCACGTTCCCCAGTGGAACATAGGGCTTCAAGCTAGTGGCCTGAAGATTCTATAGCAGTGTTTATTTCACAGTATGGGGTTGCTAGCCTCATCCCTCACCTTTCATCTTTACCAGGATTATTTCTGGCTTAGCGAGGTAGAGGAGTGCGTCGGCCGGGATCGAACCCCGGACAATGTGCATGGTCGGCGAGCGTCCTAACCTCTATGCTACCGACGCACATAGTATAGTGAGGGAAAATACAAAATTAACAGTGGTAACACAACTTAAACGATGTTCACACTTGTGAAAAATAAATAAATAAAAAAAACTTGAGAGGATTATAAATATAAGAAATACAATAACAATAAGGCTTGGTGGAATAAGGGTGGAGGAAATGGTTTATTTAGCAGTACAAAGAAGGTTAATTAGTTCCTGCCTGACACCATTTTCATCACATAAAGTACTTGCTAAATATGGTTTAGTGGAATTTTTATACTTAGACGTACGTGCATAAAGTCTTCTGAAAAGACTTCTTGTTTCATCCGATGAGAGGCAAGGTTGGAGCTGCGGGTAAAGTGGATGCTCACAGTCTGACGAAATCTCTTTAGTAAATTTGTTGCAAGACATCAAATGCCTTTCAGTGACAATGTCAACGATATGGACCAGTGGGATACCACTCGTTCTACTGACAGTCTTCAGAGTTCTACGAAGTATGACATAGTCTTTTTTAAGCAATCCAGGAAGGAATAAGGGTGAAGAGTAAAGAAGAACGGGTAAGATGCACGAGTTGACTAACTGTACGAAGAGGATTTGTTCAAGTTATGCCTGAGTGCCTTAACTTCCTAATGTAAAACGTCAGACGAAATATTCTTTTAGAAATCGCTAAGACATAAGAAGACCAGGATAGATCAGTAGAAAGAATTAATCCAAGATATTTCATTTCAGACTTGGTTTAAACAGTTTGACATTTGGAAGCATTTAGTTTAAGACCAAAGAGCATTTGCTAATTCCTGATAGAAAGCTGTTCATCTTAGTAAGGTCATGCTGGGATTTACCAGGCATTGTGACAGTTAGATCGTCCGCATACGTAACAAAGTTCATTTCATCAGAGTGAGACAAATCATGCAAGTAGAAAGGAAAGAGAAAAGGAGAAAGGAGAGCGCCTTTAAATCCAAACTTGGCCTAATTATTTCCACATTTAAAATAAAATTCACTTCCAAAAGTTGATTTGTAAGTATTAGATTTGTTTTACGAGTTTGACCACCGATTAAAAATTAATCTGAGACTCTCTAGTGACTTGCTACAGGATGGAGTTTCCTGGAGCTCTGATGAGAAGTAGTGACCAGTGAAGTTCAAACAATTTACCAATCAAGTGGCGATATGTTTGTTAACAATAATTAGTCAGTGTCAAAATGTCAATGGGGCGGTAATTAACGAAGAAAAATTAATATGTATAATTATGCAATCCACGTGTTATAACCATTTCCACCTTTTAATTATACATATTAATTTTTCTTCGTTAATTACCGCCCCATTGACATTTTGACACTGACTAATTATTGTTAACAAACATATCGCCACTTGATTGGTAAATTGTTGTATATTGTAATTAAAATGCTATATATATTAGAGTAGAGCCAGATAGGAGGATCTAATTGAAAAGTAAATATTTCTTCGCTCAATCTTTCTCTTTTCTAAATGTCTAAATGGGGATATTTTCTATATTGAATTTCAAACAGTCAAGTGTGAGGATGGTTTTTTCACGGATGACTTTGGTTGGTGCCAGTCACGCTAAATCACGAACTGGTAGAAGTTAGAATTTTGAAAAAGAGAAGACGATCAGTGAAGAGACTCTTTTTGGCGAATTCATTCACATAACAGTACAATCGCATTTATATATAATTATTGGTGTGTGTGTGTGTACATGAGGTTTGTCAAGGTTAGATAATTGATCAGGTAGTACAAGAATGGTCTAATATAGAAACAAGGTTAATTGGACAGCAACTAAACTACGATTGAGTTAGTAAGTTAGATGACGGAATATAATTGACTAAAATGTTTCAACTTAGGTCAGGATAGCAACAGAGATAACTACAGATAGAGACTGAGTAGAAGTGGGGTAGAGAATAATGCCATTTAAATTAGAACTAAAATTGAGCAAAAATAAATTGGATGACGCAACATAAATGAGTGACTAGAAATTGAGCGTTGGTCAATTCAGTAACAGTGGTAGTGAGGTGGAGAAATTAAATCGGGTGGGTGTAGAGAAGAAGAAAGTTGAAAATGTAAAATATTACAATTAAGAAGACAAAATAACTAATAAAGACACAGACAAAAAAAGGTAGAATTTAATTTTGGGGTAATAAGATAAATTACATCCATTGTAAGTGTAGTGATTGAACGAACTTCTTCTGTATGCAGAGTTCAGGACTTAGCAAGTGAATCGCCGTTGCTTTTGCAGTTTGAAGAAGTCTGCTTCGTACATCTTTAGGAAGACTACTTCTCACTCTGTAGACGACTTTGAAGTTTGTTTGGAGTGTAGCTTGGTGTCCAGATTCTATCAGATGCTCTAAGATAGAGCTGAGAGGGCATTGCTTTTCTCCTTTGTATAACCATGTTGGTAATTGTTTGGTGATACGTTTGGAAAGCGGACGCTGGGTACAGCTGACATACCTGGCTCCACACGCGCAGGTGGCCATTGAATTAGGTCTCAGTGTCTGAATAGTATGCGAGCTAGCTCGCCTTGTAACCGGAAAGTCCCGGGCTCAAACCCTGCCAATGGATGCATACTGCTGATGTTTCCCAAAACCAGGATGAAACAGCTGTCCATTACTCCTTGCTAGTTTTCAATCATTCTCTAACTAACATCAATTCACGGTTAAACTCGAAAAACAGACTGTGTTGTTTATTAAAACAATTTGTTTATCGTCTAATGTTTAATAGACAGACATTTACTAATCTTTGATAGTTTTTACTCTACACATATAACATCAATTATTATTATTGATGCATTAAGTTGTAGATACATAAATTTATCTCATTTAAACAACGCTGATCAGTGTGAAATTTTCAGTGGATGATTAAAACAAGCTACTTTTTTCTCTATTAACTGGGTAACGTCATTCATTCAATGTTCAATTTTCAACGTTCAGCGTTACACGGAATTTATATATGTCTGTATACGTATATACAATAAAAAAGTGATCGAACATGTAATAATATTTTTACATTTCTTAGTGTTTACGCATCTATTCAACATAAATTGATTTCACATGCAGGAATTATAAAACATATCATCAAAAATGTGATCATATCATCACTGTGTCTGTCATAATATATAAATAAACACAGTGAATTACGCATATTTACGCATTTTAAGTCATCATATATAGACGGACGACTAATTCACAACCTGCTAACTCTTGAGAATATAAAAATCTGAACGCTTAGATGCGTGTGTGTAAAATTCGTTGTCAATTAATACTTTTCGTCACAGAAAGTGTTGATTTCGACCTGTGGTACTGTTGTTCTTCGTTGAACACTTTCTAAATGCTTCACAGCACTACAATAGGAAACAAAACAAAATTATTAAAGGTTGCTATTATTATTATTATCATCACTGTTATTGGAGATCTTGACTGTGTTAATAGCACTGGCCTTAGTATTACCATGATTGATCATGAACAATTGATTATTACGAAGAATAACATTTATTCAAGGAATCATTTCTCAAACGAAATTGTTGAAGAAGAGCGAATTGAAGAAGAGGAAGTTATTGAATTCCCTGACAAGACAAATGACAAATTACTGATAAATGACTCCATGGAATATGATAATGACAATAATGTTAATAATCCTAACAATACCACATCGAATAACTTTAAACCTGTGAATACATCAACCAGTTCTAATGTTTCAGCCAGCTTATCATTCACTTCCCTGCCACGTAAACAAGTAAGAAGACAAATTAGAAATTATCGTAAATTTTATCGAAAAAATTCAAATTCTATTGATCTTGGCTTTAGTGGAAGATATTTTCCGACATCTAAAGGTAATTCATTGAATAGTCTCATTGCTTTGCGTGGTAATTTCATCGTTGTTGTCGCTGGTATGATTACATATTTTCTTATCATACATCACTGATTGTCTAGTACATCTACTTATAACATACTACTTTAAACTACTTATTTTGCATGTTTCAACTCATAAACTCAAAAGTGAATGATTTATGCAACAACCTGTTATCAAACGATGAAAACACCTTTGAAATCATCTTCTATTTCAAAGTTTCAATGGAATACCATACATAACTCACTGAAGACATTTCTTTCAGTTCTCTAGAGTTGAACACGAACGTACCTGATGTTGACTTCTAAACTACACCTTTCAGTGATGAACAGATTACATACCTTTGACAAATTAAACATCTTTGTAAACTGTTTTCTAATTCAATGTTGTAATGATTAATGACAAACGAGAGACGGAACAATCAAGCAGTTTTGGTTTTAGGAATTTGATTTGTTTTGTTAATAAGTTTGATCGCATAGTGATATCAGCTATGGGACCGTTGGAAAACCAGTACTGAACTACTGGACAGCTGCTTCGTCAGAATAGCCTGAGATTTATCGGCAATCCTGGGTTTGACACACGGTGGGTGTGTACTGCCAGTCAGTTCCAAACTAGAAGGGTGAAACAGTTGTCTACCTAACCCTCGTGGTTTTCAGTGGTTGTCGAACCAATATCAATCCGTGCTCAAACTTGAAACAAATCAAATCCCCACAAACAAACTCTTGAGAAGTAAATGGTTTCTGTCAGACTTTTATCTATGGTTGAAACGCTTGAAATACAAACAGTATTCATTGCATTTTGTTCACTAGTCTTTGTGTTGGAATTTTATAACATCGTATACATCCGAATACATTTCAAACCCAAATTTTGAGTATTTGGTTAAATAATTAAGCATCTTGTAGATTTTATCGCAAACTAAAGTCAGTTAGATAGACTTTTGAAATGAAGGAGCTTTGGATAGCGCCTTCCTTTTCTTGATAGACTATCTGTTTTGTGGTGGAGTTTCTTGAGATTTGTAGTTGATGGAGTGTACCCTTTTCGTGGATGAACTGGATTTCGATTGATGAATTTCATTGATGTTGGGATGCTATATCACAGATCGTCAGAAAACAGAGCCCATGAGATTTTGGCTACCGAACAATGGGTCGTATAGTCCACTGGAAGGGCTCATAATCTGAGATTGCTGGGTCCAACCTCTGTTAGGATCATGCGCATACAGTTCTGAAGAATACAAAAGTGAAAGAAAGCAACTAATCGATTTATCTTGGCTACAAGAATTTATTTGATGTAATGAACACAATCATGAAGAACTTTCTAGCCCTAAACCACACATAAATTAATGAACTGGAATATATCCATGCTGTTTCACAATCCAGTGAGTTTATTCGTCAAATTCTTAAGATTATACGTAAAATACGCTTCATTTCAGGTATCCTTCTCATTTATTCCTGCATATAATAAAACATCGTGTCAACGTATTATATACCCTTAGTTAAGATGGAATGGCGAGAGATAACCAGGTGTTCGATTATTTCAATCCTTAAAGAGCCACTACTATCCCTCTGTAGCCATGCAGCATAGTTTCCGTAGACCCTTTTGGACAGGGTTCACGTTGAATGACCAATGAACCTGTCTGGGTGCAAGAAAACAGGTGAAATGACATATGTATACAGAAGCGGTCAGTTGCTATATTTTGTCCTTAAGGCTTCCGCAAACCAATGGACGATTGAAGAACACTACTCTTAGCGCTGCTGTGAAGAATGTTCTTCTCAAAAATGCTGAAATACTCCTCTTAAGGGTATCTCAAGTTAAGTCTTCCTTGAAATTCAGGTTCATGTAAAGTTTCTGTTTCGGAACAAGTAATCTTTTGTTTCTCTCGACTTTTCGTCTAATATTCTTTTCAGTGAATCTTGGTGGGTATCAAATTTGGTGAAGGTTTCTTTAAGAATGTCTAATTCTGCTTTAAGAACGTCAAGATAGCATCGGATTACGTCAGATCCAGGCGGTAAGGGATATAATTCAATTTCGTTTCCGTTCAATGGGCACCCAACTGTAGAAACTTTTCAGCTGACCGTTCCAAGAAAATTTTCTGAGGACTCACCTTCTTAGGGTTCCATTGGATTGTCATGCTATTTCCAAATCAAGAAAAGGAATTTTGAAGTCGTCTTCCATTTCTAGATGGAATTTTAATGCTGGATGGCAATTATTCAATTGATTGGGGTTGTAGTTTTTGTCGAAAGTGATGAAAATGTTATCCATGTATCTTGTGTACATTTCTAGATCGTCAGTGGACGACTTTAATGAACCATTCTCATGACTAAACATGAAATATGTTAAGTCAAATTGCGTGTAGTAAAATCCAGATCTGATAGGCCGATGTAATTCGTCATCTCGTTGTCCTATTCAGATGAGTTAGGTTTTAAAACAAACCGGAATCCGTACACATTTCTCCCGTTATTTTTGACTTTTATTTCTTTTGCATAGGACAAACTAGGATCATTTCTTTGATATTTTAGCCAAACATGTTACGAAATGAAAAATTTCACTGTTTTCAGGTGTAATATTAGCCGACATACATATAAGGTTTGGATAATGTGGTAGTATGTAATTTCATTGGAATTTGTTAATTGAAAATATAACACAGGGGAGCAGTATTATTAACTACATTCGTAGCACGGTGTCAAGTAAATAGATGGAACAAGAAGTCTAGGAAAATGTAAACTAGCAGACATACGACAGAAGCTAGAAACAATCATAAAATAGGATGGGAAAAATTGACGTACAGTCTTATGATATCATGTAATAAGGCGGACGAGGGAAAGACTGCTAACCAAAGCTTTATAAAACACAAAATATTTGAGCAAATAATATCCTTTTCGATAATTTCCTATTCTGGCTCTACAGTTATACATATATATGTTTATATACATAGAATGTCCTAGAATGGTAGTCAATAACACTACTAATGTTTTTTAAGTAATGTCGGTTTGTAAATTAAGAGCAACGGAATTACAGTTCATTAAAGAAGCTTAAATTATAGTAATAATCAAGATGTAATAGCAAATAGAATACCAACTAAAATTAAAGAAATTTCTACAAAAATTGAGAATAATTCGAACCTAAATGGACAAGGTAAGGACAATGTCTGAACTAGCTTCTTTTGGACACATAAATTAGGCTTCTTAATGTGGATCCCAACGGCCAACCTCATCAATATTCAGTAGTCGAACTCTTAAGGCAAAATTGAGATTTGTTGGTATGCGGTAAACGACTTCAAAAGTTGCCTCGTTGACATCAATCTCGTGCTCTCTATCCACAAGATAAGATTGAATAGCGCTACGAATAGATTTTGTTTGACCTTTACTGCAGAGTGATGTTCGGAAATTCGACGAGAAACACGCCTAAATGTACAGTCTATGTAACTGGCCACATAGAAGCACTTAAATTGATAGATATACATGGACGAGGCGAAATTAGGCGGTTTACCTTTTACCCTCCCAAAGGAAAAGAGGAGCAGTTTTGAAGACACAGCGTAATTGCTCTTTATACTGCATTTCTAAGGCGTTGTGTTGTTTATCGTATCAGCTGAGAATACGTGCAATAGGAATAATTCAACGCCTGTTCCAGACATTTGGAAGATTCTTTTTTTTACTTCCCTTGTGATAAATGTGAAGGATAGACAGGAGCCATAGAAAAATCAAGTTTAGAAGTGTGTGCACTTTCTATGTTGGCACTTAAAGTGAATTTCTTCTGAAACTGTATACTCTCTAAGTAATGAACTGTATTTATAGTGTTTTCCTGAGATATATACTAATAGTAAGTAATAATACGAGTAGGATTTAGGCACTGTGTTGTAATATAATTAGATAAACTGTGCCCAAAACGTCAGCCAGTTATTAACTAACTGATTGACTGACTGACTGATTTCAACGCAGAATTTTGCACAGATTTGCAGCATTTCAAGTTTCCACACTCCCTCCATGTAGCACACGAAGCGAAAGGAGGGAGTAAAGAGGGTTTCAAAAGAGAGGTGATAAACGTAAACATGAGGCTGTGCAATCGTAAATATATTTAACAAAAAAAGTCATAAGACCAGCCAACAGATACTGGTAGGAGTTGTCCTCGAGAATGCTATACATAGTGTAAAGTGAAGTCTAGAAAAGGATGACTAATTGGAAATTAGGAAAGGAGGAAAAATTGGGATGACGTGATCAGTGTGAGAAAATGACTAATCAATATAATTGTGTAGAATAGACAGGAACTGGTGGAAAGACAATAAAGTGTTTTTATAAGATCTGTATAAAAACGCACTGTTATTAATAAACAGTAGTAGAGTGATATTAATGGACCTGAAAATCAATGAGATACTCACTATCAGCTGGAGTCTGGAATTGCTTAGGGTTCTAGCTGGAAGTAGTGACCAGGTGGGTACAGTAGGTTGGGTGTGAGAACAAATACTCGCCGACGGCATTCGCCAGCGGTTACGCTATGTCGTGAATTAGCAGAAGTTAGAATTCATAGACCATTGGATCGGGTCTCAGTGGCTTATTGGTCTCCGAGCTAGCTCGCTTTGTAACCAGAAGGTCCTGGGTTCGACCGATTGCGGCGGGTAGGTTCTGATGAAGAGTCCCGAACTAGGACGAAACAGCTATCTAGTACTCCCTGGTGGTTTTCCAATACTTTTCTAACTGATGTCAGCTCACGGTAAAATCAAGTAACTAATCAATCAAATCCCTACAAACCAGTACTTGAAGGATGATGATGTTTCGATGTTTTTCCTTCACGTTCCCCTGTGGAACATAGGGCTTCAAGCTAGTGGCTTGAAGTTTCTGTAGCAGTGTTTAATTTTACAGGATGGGGTTGCTAGCCTCATGCCTAACCTTTCCTCTTTACCAGCATTATTTATGGCTTGGCGAGGTAGAGGAGTGCGTCGGCAGGGGGTCGATCCCGGGACCATATGCATAGTTGGCGAGCGTCCTTACCGCTATGCCACCGACGCAGGGAGGATGATGAGAATAATAATAATAGCAAACTTACATAATAAAAAGAAGCAAAATTATAGTAAGAACGTTACT